GTCAGAATTGCGAGATATAAAGTCAGAATTGCGAGATATAAAGTCAGAATTGCGTGATATAAAGTCAGAATTGCGTGATATAAAGTCAGAATTGCGAGATATAAAGTCAGAATTGCGTGATATAAAGTCAGAATTGCGTGATATAAAGTCAGAATTGCGAGATATAAAGTCAGAATTGCGAGATATAAAGTCATAATTGTGTGATATAAAGTCAGAATTGCGTGATATAAAGTCAGAATTGCGAGATATAAAGTCATAATTGTGTGATATAAAGTCAGAATTGCGAGATATAAAGTCAGAATTGCGAGATATAAAGTCAGAATTGCGAGATATAAAGTCATAATTGTGTGATATAAAGTCAGAATTGCGAGATATAAAGTCAGAATTGCGTGATATAAAGTCAGAATTGCGAGATATAAAGTCATAATTGTGTGATATAAAGTCAGAATTGCGAGATATAAAGTCAGAATTGCGAGATATAAAGTCAGAATTGCGTGATATAAAGTCAGAATTGCGTGATATAAAGTCAGAATTGCGAGATATAAAGTCAGAATTGCGTGATATAAAGTCAGAATTGCGTGATATAAAGTCAGAATTGCGAGATATAAAGTCAGAATTGCGAGATATAAAGTCAGAATTGCGTGATATAAAGTCAGAATTGCGTGATATATAGTCAGAAATGCGAGATATAAAGTCAAAATTGCGAGATATAAAGTCAGAATTGCGAGATATAAAGTCAGAATTGCGAGATATAAAGTCGTAATTGCGAGATATAAAGTCAGAATTGCGAGATATAAAGTCAGAATTGCGAGATATAAAGTCAGAATTGCGAGATATAAAGTCAGAATTGCGTGATATAAAGTCAGAATTGCAAGATATAAACATGCAATTCTAACTTTTTTTTTGCAATTGCGAGTTTACACTCACCGGCCACTTTATTAGGTACACATGTCCAACTGCTCGTTAACACTTAGTTTCTAAGCAGCCAATCACATGGCGGCAACTCAGTGCATTTAGGCATGTAGACATGGTCAAGACAATCTCCTGCAGTTCAAACCGAGCATCAGTATGGGGAAGAAAGGTGATTTGAGTGACTTTGAACGTGGCATGATTGTTGGTGCCAGAAGGGCTGGTCTGAGTATTTCAGAAACTGCTAATCTACTGGGATTTTCACGCACAACCATCTCTAGGGTTTACAGAGAATGGTCCGAAAAAGAAAAAACATCCAGTGAGCGGCAGTTCTGTGGGCGGAAATGCCTTGTTGATGCCAGAGGTCAGAGGAGAATGGGCCGACTGGTTCGAGCTGATAGAAGGGCAACAGTGACTCAAATAACCACCCGTTACAACCAAGGTGGGCAGAAGAGCATCTCTGAACGCACAGTACGTCGAACTTTGAGGCAGATGGGCTACAGCAGCAGAAGACCACACCGGGTGCCACTCCTTTCAGCTAAGAACAGGAAACTGAGGCTACAATTTGCACAAGCTCATCGAAATTGGACAATAGAAGATTGGAAAAACGTTGCCTGGTCTGATGAGTCTCGATTTCTGCTGCGACATTCGGATGGTAGGGTCAGAATTTGGCGTCTACAACATGAAAGCATGGATCCATCCTGCCTTGTATCAACGGTTCAGGCTGGTGGTGGTGGTGTCATGATGTGGGGAATATTTTCTTGGCACTCTTTGGGCCCCTTGGTACCAATTGAGCATCGTTGCAACGCCACAGCCTACCTGAGTATTGTTGCTGACCATGTCCATCCCTTTATGACCACAATGTACCCAACTTCTGATGGCTACTTTCAGCAGGATAATGCGCCATGTCATAAAGCTGGAATCATCTCAGACTGGTTTCTTGAACATGACAATGAGTTCGCTGTACTCAAATGGCCTCCACAGTCACCAGATCTCAATCCAATAGAGCATCTTTGGGATGTGGTGGAACGGGAGATTCGCATCATGGATGTGCAGCCGACAAATCTGCGGCAACTGTGTGATGCCATCATGTCAATATGGACCAAACTCCCTGAGGAATGCTTCCAGCACCTTGTTGAATCTATGCCACGAAGAATTGAGGCAGTTCTGAAGGCAAAAGGGGGTCCAACCCGTTACTAGCATGGGGTACCTAATAAAGTGGCCGGTGAGTGTATATCTCACAATTCTGAGATAAAAAGTCAGACATGTGGGATTGTCGCAATTACCTTTTTTATTCAATGGGAGAATCAAGCTTCCATAAAGTACAGCTTTCATTCATTTCATCATTCATTGATGTTATTGACGGTTGATAAATCCAGGGATTTTGCATTATTTATGTGATTTACGCCTACGGGTTTTTAACGTCAGCCATATATTAATGCAGAGTCGTTTGGACTGCGAATACTCTCAATGAAAAATAATCCAGTTTATGGGAACTGCAACATGATGCCATTAAATCCAGACTCACTATAAAGGACATTTGAAGTGACGGAGCTCTCTCGCCTCGGGTATCACAGCTGCCACCTCTCTCAAACAATACATTCATTCAACTTAACCTAACAGTGTAACGTCACACACCTAGTGCGCTACAACACACACACCAGACAGGTCTTTCCAAGCATTAAACTCTGCGCTTCTTAAAAGAACAGCGTGCATACAAAGACTGACCTCTCTTGTCTGATCCTTTCCCACTGATTTGAGGCATGAATTATTGGGTGACCAGGATTTGGTCAAGTAGGACAAGTTCCTGGAACAGCTTTCCGATTGACCCGACAGATTTTAGAGATAGGGTTTTTGATAACACTGTAGCTAAACATGCAGATGAACGAATGCTGATTTACCCAACTGTATCTGTACAAACAATGATGTGGTGATGTGATTAGTTGCATCTGTGTACTTGAAATGAACACTAATGATGAAATGATTACGCTTTGAAAAGCAGAGTCAAATCTATATTAAGCCGTTTTAAAACGGACGTGAAGAATAATGACGGTTTCTCTATCTTTACAAATTGTGGCTTGTCGTGTTAATGCTTTGTAATGGTTTTATTTATAGTGTGTTAAGCTCTTGACCCTCTGAAAAGTATGTCATTTGTTTGAATGAAACTGCAGCACTCATTGTATTGTACTACTACATTGTTTGAAAAAAAAAATCTGTATGTATGATTTGTAATATCAAGAACAGACTTAATAAGAGGGTTGAACACAACTGATTGTTTTTTTTTGTTTTTTGTTATTTTGAAAGCTCTCCTATTAAAGGGATAGTTCACTTTGAAATTAATTTTTGGTATGTTTTATCTTACCTCAATGGTCTTTGTTTCTACAGTAATTTCAATTTTGATATTTTTAGGTCAAACCGTTCTTGTCTGTCAGTCATATAATGGAGGTCTATGGTCACCACCTCAAAGAGCATGCACAGAGAAGTCCAAATTAAACATGATTTAATGACTCACTTCCGGCACTTTCCGGTGCAAACCTCAGATCACTTGGACGTGGCTGTTGTTACAAGAGGTAAAAATTATATAAATACCCTGCTGAAAAATCCAGCTAAAACCAGGCAAGGCTGGTTGGCTGGTTTTGGCTGGTCTCCCAGCCTGGTTATAGTTGGTTTATCAGGCTGGTTTTAGAGGGGTTTTGAACACTTTTTCAGCTAAGTCAGGCTGGGAGACCAGCTTGACCAGCTAAGCCAGGCTGGGGGACCAACTAAAACCAGCTACTTCCAGCTTAAACCAGCTAAGACCAGCCAACCAGGCTGGTTTTAGCTGGATTTTTCAGCAGGGCTGTTCGTTTTCTCACACAAACCGCTCGTTTCGTGTCTTAGGCCATCAATGTGTACTTACATTTACGAGTCATTAAATCATGTTTAATTTGGACTTCTCTGTGCATGCTCTTTGAGGTGGTGACCATAGACCTGCATTATATGACTGACAAAACAAGAACGGTTTGACTTAAAAATATCAACATATAAAACATACCAACAATTAATTTCAAAGTGAACTATCCCTTTAATTTAATAATCTGTCTCAAAATTATAACCTCTTATTAGGTTGTGTTCTAATCGAAGCACAATGTGAACTTGATTCTGTATATAAGCAATCATGTTGTACATTTAACCCTTGTGCTGCATTAGATTTTTAACACCGTTGAGTGCATTAAGGACCAAAAATGGCCACATATTAAACATTGCCTAAAATATTATATATTATTATTATTTTCCACTTTTACCAAGTTAAATCTTTTAACCAGCATCAGTCCTCATCATAACTACCAAAAATGTATTCAATTTCAGGATTTTAACCCTTTAATTACCAGTTTTGTTTGCGAAACCATCGATTTGTATAAGAGGAAAAAACACAAAAATTCTATTATTTTCAATAAACTAAATGCAAAGAGAAAACTTTAGATTTGGATTATCACAGTCCCACTTTGCAAAAAATCCCACTTAGCGCGTTAGAGACCAAAAATGGCCACCTATTAAACATTGCCTATTGCCTAAAATAAGGTGCATTTCCACCCATAGGGAATAAATATGTAGTGACGTCATCTGGTGGAATACACTATATAATGCAAATATAATGCTTTTGCTTCAAAATGAAAGGATGTTTGTGCAAAAATCATGTTTCATGTATTACTGACAGCCTCAGATTTAAACAACGTTTTAATGGGTTTCAATGGGCCATTTTTGGTCTTTATGGTGCTGAGTGTTACTATTTGATCTACACAGTGTGTGCTATACATATTTTGCAAAATGGGATCACATTTTTTACATGTATCCAAAAAGTCACAATTTTGCCAAATTTCATACCATTTGCATTAAAACAGCCAAAATGGTCAAAGAAATTAAACTGCAAAAGACCAAAAATGTCCCTAATGCAGCATAAGGGTTAAGAGATCTGTGTAATTGCTCAGTTGAATGAATTCTGTCTAATATCTCTTTGTTAAGCTTTTTTGTACATTTTTCTTGTTCTGATGATCATACTATTTTGAACTGTCCTGTCCTTCTCTGTATTCCCCCCCCCCCCTTACTAACAGGAACCCATTCCAAAAAACAGGGCGAGGATTTATCCGATAACGACGGTGATGAAGATGAAGGTATTCTCTTTGGTGACGAAAGACGATGCATGTCTTGGATTATGTATTCATTTTTCTGTACTTTGAATGCAGCCCTCCCTCTTGCACCTTTTTATCTTCTCTCATGGTCTAAAGAGTCATCAAAGTCCTTTGTGTGGCTGTGGAGTATGACTGTGTTTTCAATACATCAATAATTAGCATGTCTGGGAGATTTCTGGGAGGGAATTGTGTAGGTGCGTGTTTAGTTTTTTTTTCATCTATTGTATATTAGAGGCTACAGATGCATAATTGTGTTGATTGGTGCAGTGATTCTCAACTGGTTTCGCTTGACGACGTAACACAATGATTTATCATACAAAAGGAACTTGAATATCCTTAAATATTGAAATCTCATGAACAGTATAAACCCACCTATATGCTAAAATATTGAGTTTGGTTTCTAAATGTCTGTAGATATACTGTATGATTTACGATGGATATAAATACCAAAAATTGGAATGAGGTCAGTTGTGTGAGTAATTCACAACACAACACACTTTGAGGTCAGCATGAAACATATTTATCCTTGTCACAAGTATTCTGTGACGAATGGAGAATGGCATGCCATCAAATATAGAGCCATATTTTTTTTTAATCAAATTTACAGGATGATCGCAGATGATTTAAAGGAGTAGTTCGCTTTTGAAAAAAAACTTTTGCTGATAATTTCCTCACCCCCATGTCATCCAAGATGTCCATGTCAGACTTTCTTCAGTCAAAAAGAAATTAAGGTTTTTGATGAAAACATTCCAGAATTTTTCTCCATATAATGGACTTCAATGGGAACCAAACGGTTCTTTGAGTGCAAACTGTTCAAAGGGCTTTAAACGATTAGAGACGATGAATAAGGGTCTTATCAAGCGAAACGATCGCTCGTTTAAAAAAACAAATAACAAAGTTTAAGTTTTATAAGCTCAAATGGTCGCCTTGCTCTGTTCATCAAAATGAACGAATCTTTTTCTGAGTCAATTCGTTCATTAAGATTCCGTGTGACTCTGTTCGACCTCGTTCATCAAAATGAACAAATCTTTTTTCGTGTCATTTGGTTCATTCAACGAACTAAATGAACGAATTGACTCAGAAAAAGATTCGTTCATTTTGATGAACGATTTCGAGTCACACAGAACAGAACAAGGCAGCCATTTGAGCTTATAAAACTGTTTTGAAATGAGCGATCGTTTCTCTTGATAAGACTCTTATTCGTCGTCTGGAATCGTTTAAAGCCCTTTGAACAGTTTGCAGCTTTTGGACCTTGAACCGTTTGGTTCCCATTGAAGTCCATTATATGGAGAAAAAATCTTGGAAGGTTTTCATCAAAAACCATTTCTTTTCAACTAAAGAAAGAAAGACATGGACGTCTTGGATGATATGGGGGCGAGTAAATTATCAGCAAAAACGAACTGCTCCTTTAACACAATGCAAACTGCTCAACACGCATTGCTATGACCTTCGCATGAGAAACGTTTTACATTGCATCATGAAAGGGTGATTTTCCTAGTTATTTATTTACAAAGAATATGTTATGCAATCGAAGCCATGTCATAAAACACTACTTAGATGCACAGGATCCGTTTCTGAAAGGTTTGTAGCAGATGGTTTCAAAGATGAAATTGGTTGAACCCTCACAGCGCTTGACCTGCATGCAACATAAAGCCGGCTGTACTGCTTGACGCCTCGTTCTATTGAGTGTCATCTAGTCAAGTAATGGAAGGCCATTGTATCTTTTCATGAAGTGGTAATCGACATATTTCCGTTATAGACACTCCCATGTGTAGCATGCGAGGAGTTCTGCAACATGGAAGCACATATGAGGCAAGCATGGGGTATCACAACACCGTTTTTAAAACAGCCGAATGGATTTAGATAGAGAGAGAGAGAGAGAGGCTGACAAGTTGTGGTAAGAGGATTAGCGAGGGAGGGAGGGGGGAAAGCATGCGCGCAAGAGAAGTTGCCAATCAGCAAGAGCATTGTTCAATTTCAGCATTTATCTTGGGATATTCTAGGCTCAGGGTGGATATCTGGCGAGATTAGAATAGGGAAAGTATTCTTCCCCGGTTACTGCAAAAGGCTTAAACCCCAGAACCTATCTCAAATCCTGTTATTGTTGTTCTTTTATGCTCCTAAACTGACAATAGATCTTATAGGTGAGGGACATGTTCAGTGCTGGAGTTATGGTCCAGCTGTACGCCCCTACTGTGCAATTGTTGGTTCAGACTAAGTGCCGCTCTCAGTTTGTGTTTGGCTGTGTCGCAGGCCGTTGCCGTCTACGACTGAAATGGAAACTGAAGCAAGTCACGTTTGAAGAGACTCAGTCAGTGGTATTAACAGCAGTGTTAATCGATACGCTTTCTTCAATACCAGTTGACGCAGAGGCCTTGTAACTAGGGCTGGGTAATAAATATCGATTTCTCGATATTAATCGATTCTCATTTTTACGAACCGACATCGATTCTTAAATTTTAAGAATCGATTAGTCATCCTGTTTCATTTGAATGAATAAAACATGTATCGCGGCTGCGCGCATCCAAAAAAATCGCAATAATCTTTGTCCTTTGTTACTATTGATATGAAACAAAGTCTCAATTTTCAAATTACGTCCATTTTCTTTAGAAATTCAAAAACATAAATAGCGTTTTGGCGCTGTGGCGTGAGATCGCTCTGGAGAAGCAGCAGCGCTGATCTCTCTTCCGGCTTACTAATACCAGTCACAGCGCCAAATAAACATGATTGAGCATCTGAAAGTGTGTTAAAGATAGAGTACAACTTATCGAAATCCGTATCATGTCACATTGATTCGCTCAATCAGCGTTTCAACCGTGGAAAGACGTCAGTTAAACGGCTTGTAATCAATGTATCGTCATATTTACCTCAGAAAACCCACATAAACTCGAAAAAATAACTCTAGAGAGGAGCATTTTGCTAAATATATACACCATATTACATATGCATTATAATCTTAATGTTCTTCAATATTTAATGCATATTTGAATAAATCTGGCAAGTTTTTATGACTGCCACCATTTAAATGTTTATATTTCATATAATCTTCTTATCATAAATATAAATGAAAGTGTAATTTAAGTGTTTGTATAGCTACAAAACAGTTCATTATTACCTTCATATTAGGCTAATGAAGTCTATAGGCTACAACTAGACTCCCATAGTTTACAGCATGATTCCCTTGAAAATTTGCCATTTATTGTAACTGATATTCAAAATAATCGATATTGAATCGAATCGAATTGCAAGCTTGTGAATCGAAATCGAATCGAATTGTGAAATTTGTCTCAATACCCAGCCCTACTTGTAACGCACACGTTCACATGTAGAGGAGCTTCCCTCGGGAGGATTTGGACTTCCAATCCAAAGCGGTTGCGTTCCCTTTGCAATTGGCTGGTTCAGACAATCCAATTTCTGACTTGCGCAAATGTGGCGGCTCTCCATGAAAAATCCACTAGGCTCCAGCAGTCAAGCAGCATGTCCTTCCAGAGGCTTTTCCGCTTGGTCTGGAGGTTGGGTTTATGGCCCAAGCAGTCCCAGTGGGATGTGGGCTCAGCTCTGGATCGAGATGTAGTCCACTGAGGTGTCCGTGTTCTAGCCCAGGGCATGTTTTTGCATGAGGTGCCAATTACCTTGCATCAATGGCCTGCCTGTTTTTCCTTTACTCTGAATGGCCCATCAACTGTGACAATAGGGAACACGGCTTGTGAAGCATGCCATAACATTCAAATAAAACAAGAATACAAAGCAGGCAAAAGTGGCAAATGAGCTGAATGCTTTGCCCTAGATTGGAAGGTTGTGGTTGGTAAATAGTTCCTCGTTGAAGCATTTTTTTTTTTTTTTTTTGAAGATATCAAATGTTAGAGAGCTACAAATGAGTGTTGACACTTGAACAGGGCCGGAATGATATTCCACTTGAGCCAACTATATATCAGTATGCCCCATTTGTGTAACAAGGCGTGCTAGTCAAAGCAACAATACTCGGACACTGAATCTACAGTGGAGCTGCCACTGCATATCTGTGAATTGTAGTAGTGATCATGGCACATTGTTCACCTTACAACCTCTACTCGTCTCTGGCTACACAGTATCATTGTGAATCTAGGCCATGCTTCCTTGGCAAACATTTCTAGACGAGATCACCACACACTTAACCCTTCGGGAGGTCACAAAGGCTCAAATTGAGGCAATCTCTTTCTGCTAACTCTGACTGAATCCCAATTCATTTGCTTCTAGGTAGGAATGCAAGCTAGGAATTTTAACGTGATACCTTTCTCTTGGTAAAAGTGTGCTTGGGCGTATACTTCCAAATTCCCGAAACGGCCCACAAGCAACTTTCCGAGCAATCTGATGTGTTTGATTTGGGACGCAGCAATCCTAATCTGATTTACTGTATCTGATGGATATGATATGACTTTGGATTCAGCCCAGATGTCTGTCTTTCGCACTAAAATAGACTGGGCTCATATGACATAACGTAGCTAGCAAGCTGTTGGCATCATTTCTCAGCTGGTGGTCCTTATTTCAGTCATCAAGCCTGGCACAAACATATTGCAGGGCCTCTCATTCTGTAGATCATCTCTGGCAATTAAGCCAACCTCAGGTGCTGCTAAGCAAAGCTATACAACACCTCCTGCCACTCTGTTATTGTACATTTTCTAGGTGTATATATAGGCACGTGGAACTAATTAATGCAGAACATGGCAGTGGTAATACATTTTCCTTGGCCCACAGGAATATATACCTTGTCTCATGTGTCTGCTGTCATAGACTTCCCACCGCTGACAAATAGATGCACATTGGCTCGCTTATCCATGTGCCCTAATTGGGCAAAAGAGCCCTTGACTCCTCTAGATGCCAGCCATCTTCTGATGGTGCCAGTGGCCAGGCCAGCTCCACCTGCTGGGGTGTTAGGATGGATTTCACAGAGTCCAATACCCACTGTCACACAGGATGGGTTAAATAAACAATGGGCCAAACTG